CCTGCCTCTGAAGCTGATACGTACGCTGTGTTGGTCATTTGAAAATAGGATTGTCTGCTGCCATCGAATGGCTGCAGCCACAAAGCCAACATGGACTCTTTTTTTGCCCCAGCTGACCATTCTAGTCCCAACAAGAGCTTTTTCTGAGATGGTGAGAAAGACCACTAGAGGGGAAAATTAAAGCCTCGATAGCTACACGGCTTTGTTTTGTTGTTTTGAATTTAAACATGATCAATTTGGGTCGCAGCACACTGTTCATCATGAAGATGGACAACTGTGTTAGAAGAAATAGTTTTAGCTCATTTGTTTTTATGTTTTGTATCAAATTTTAATTGAACCCCCGGCAGATTGATGGCTCCTGAAACTAATCCGGTTAGAACATATCTCTGGAATATTGTCTAATTCATCTTCAGGCTTCAAAGCAGATGTTCTGTTATTGGATTGAGTTTGTATGTTAAACCAATCACAAGGGGTGTACGTTAAGCAAAAAAAAAAGAAAAAAGGGCTATAAATCATCCAGGTTTCTGTGATGTCAGTGCAAAACTAAAGGAGAGCTTGGTGATGGTAAAGACAACTATGGAAAGGTTCAATAAAAATGTATGTGAGTGGAAATGAGGTCCTTGTGTAGTTGTTTCCTCAATTTCTTCCCAAAGTTCCCTCAAGCTTTTTAGACTCTGGTTTCTGGTTGACTTTTGAATCAGATGCACCGAGTTTCCAAACCTGCATTTCCTACTGCACAATTTAAAAGCGATTAACTAAGTGACATAATAAAAAAGTTTGAAGTTTTGGCTTTGAATTGAAGAACAGTGTGTACTTTTAATAGCTGGCCATTGGCTACGTTTGCGGTAGTCTCTACATGCCTGCCCACACCATGAGCCCACATCTACTTTATCCTGGAGCTGACAATGTATGCAAATTACAAATACAGTCTTTAAAATGGTGCAATTTACATTGATCACAATTTCAGTGTGGTGATCTTATCTAGAAGGAAGGGGAACATTGTGCATTAGGTAGGGGAGGGGCAGAGTAGAAAAAATTAAACTCTTTACACTCATGTTGGTCTTGTCACTGCTGGCAGAGGACACACTCCATCTTTTGGCAGCTTTGGCATCAACAGGTGGAGATTCTCTATCCTTGTCTGCACTGTGAATCTTCCTGTTCAGGTCCTGAAACATGTCCTGGTGGCGTTTCCGGGTGTGCATTATTTTCTACACAGGGACATCGCACGTTATGTACAAGGCAAACAGCACAGGGTCTTATCAACTCTACTTTATGCCCTTCACATCTGCTTTTTCTAAATCTCTACAGTACAATGAATTTGGAGAAACAAATCTAGGACTAAATCTAGAAGTGTGGAAAGAGGAAATCAGATTTTGTTGTAGGTTTAAGAATCTCTGCAGGAATCAAAGAGACTAAAATTACCTCAAAGTCAAGCTCTGCATAGCGTGATTTTCGTCTCTGGGGGAAAACGAGACAAAGAGATTAAAGATGTGTCTTGAATCTGTGTGTGTTTTGAGCACAAAGCTCCAGCCTTTCGTGGCGTTTCTGCGCATCGGCCACTTTCGAGGGACTTTTTCTGGGAGTGAGTCATGGGGAACAAAACAAGGTCTGCTGCTGGTCATTCTGACCCCGCTGACACCAGAGTGCAGCTAACAGACTGTGAGCGGAGGACCTTTAAGTCCTCTGTCACAGAGTGGTGGAGGAAAAGCTGACCTTCAGGCTGCCCGCTTCCTCTGGCAGCTGCTGCCTCGCTCCCCGTTATGGAAGTGTGTTTAGCTCTGAAGTAAAAAAGACTCCAGCAGGCGGATGCCCGGGACACTCTGTGCCTCGTCCTGCTGCTGCTGTCTGCACGGCTCAGCCACTGCTAACCTTTTCAAAGCCGCTGTCCTTATTTGGGATGGGGAGAGCTGGGATGCTTCTGGCGATGCGGTGTGTGTTATGAGTAAAACCACGGGGCTGTAAGCGTCAGATGGGATGGCCAAAGCAATGGAGGAATGAAGTGACAGTGCTTCTCTGGGGAGAGCTGATTAATGAGTCTAAATCTGAGAAACCTTTAAATATTTGCTTCAGTAATGAATGCTTCCCCTGGCGACGTCCTATTTCTATGCTGGGAGAATTTTGCCTTGCTCCAATACATGGTACAACAATGATTTCAGAGGGTCATAGTGTAATCACAGATGTGATGAAAGGGTCATGTGTTTGAGGGTGATCTACAATCAAACAACAGCAAAAACATTCACAGTGCTGGTGTTCTGCCACGGAAATCAAGAATGGCCATATTTCCCAATACTAAACCCATCAGAACAACCACCAGATTCAAGCTGTATTCCACATCGAACTCTTTACTACCGGAAAAATGTTAAGCTTTCACTTGTTTTAGTTTTTTTTTTATATTGTGGAAGTTCACCGGTCCTCTGAAATGATGAACTGTGTAAAAATACCACATTCTTTACAGATTAATTGCACGCTTTGTTTCTAATTCTATGTGATGAAACCCAAAGTGATGAGTGCGATCAAATTATTTTTTTTTTCTTCAGATGTTACTTCACTATATTTTTGTATTTGAGGATTGAACTGCCTGGTAGACACTAAAGTATATCTGAGACCGGGGGGGAGGTTCAGTCCATGTCTCAGCCATTAAGGGAATTCCCAGAAGTGGTAATGGCATTCCAGCTGAGGAATGCCATTAACAGGTCAGTATTTTATTTTGATATATTTTGTTCTGATAGGAATAGTATTGTAAGATTTTCTTACATTCTTATTGACATTCTTATCTCATTTATTCAAATGTTGTTTCTGGAGGTAAGCAACTCAAAAATATTTGAGAATTTGCTGAATAAAGCAAAAGTCTCCCTTTAAACCTGACGTATGAGATGTGTTACCAGTCCGATCACATGCGGGTGGGTCTCCAGGTCTTACCTCCAGTGAGCTCATGGACAGCGTAGAGACGGTTTCACTTTTGGACATCACACCGGAGTGGCCAGAGTCTCCCCCTTCACACATGTTGCCGGCCACCTGGGGGTCTCGGGGCACGTTCTGCAGATTGTGTGCAGGTGAGTCTCTGTCAGAGCACGACACACTGACCTGGTCAGAGGGCAGGCTCTTCAGCCCAAAGCCAGGCACTGGCTCTCCGGTCACAGGGTTAGCCAGGTGAATGAGCCTGGTCTGAGGCAGCTGCTCCAGGCCCAGGTTATACTTGGCTGTCTGATCTTCTTTTCCCTTTGACGGTTTAAGGGTTCCTGTGTTATTTGCTGGTAGAATGACGTACCCTGGGCCTTTGCCAGCTCCCTCAGAGCTGCTGCCTTCACCATTCCCCCGGGGCACATCTCCATCCAGCTGCTTGAAGAGCTCCCCGTCACAGATATAGATGGATTTGGCGCCCGGCAGCTCTGTGCTGATTCCCTTGGCGGCGCCTTTGTCCCTGCGCAGAGTCAGCGTGTGGTTGGTGTAGTCAGCCACGTTCTGGAGGTGAACCTTTGCCATGCTGGCAGGCATGGTGTTAAAGTTGGAACCCTTTTGGAGCGTGAGGGCCCCAGAGGAAGCCTTCTCCTCTCCTTGGAGGGATGAGCGCTTCATGGTGCCTGGAGACAACGGAGAGATGGAAAAGATGCGGGGCAAGATTAGACTTACTCAGGTATTTCCTTAGATGCAAAGAAAGATAGCTGCAATCTTATATTTACACAAATACATCCAACAAGTCCTGATGTGCCATGAGAGAAAGAAACATTTTAATAGATACATTGATAAAAGCAGAAGCTGATAATGACTAAGTAATAAAGTAATCCATATTAAAACTGATTGTGGAAATGTTTGTGGTGTGTGTGGTTCTGACTGAACGATGGGAGGAGTGTGGGTCTTCTGTAATCATTCTGTCTGCCTTTACTGGCAGAAGCCTGCCAGGCTCCTTGGAGAAGACTGTGAAGCAGCCAGCTAGGGCTAGCCTCACAGAAAGTGTGGGTAAAGCTGGCGTGGAGCTCACGCTGCGTCTTTGTGTGCTGCTGTTGCCACGGTCACCCTTTACAGGGAGAACTGGGGCTACTCCAGCATATTCTCCAGACAGGCACCTGTATGTGCTGGGATCTGTCTGCTGTTGAGCAAACAGGGCAACATTGATAACTGGTATTTATTTTACCAGAAACCCAGGTTTGAGTAGTCCTCAAAAACTTTGACAATCCAGGGTTGCCGCCAGGAGTTGTGTTACATTGTTCCCCACCTCTGCTGCTAACTCACAAAACCCCATAATGACTGTGTCTGCTCCAAGACCACTCCAGGCTGATAACAAACATGTAATTGATACAAGGGGACTAAATTCAGAAAATCTAAAAAAGAACAAAAAAATTATAAAAACATTAAATATTTAAATATGAAATCTCTCCTTTCCCAGTCGGCGTCAGTAAATGATCTCATTGGTGTTCATCATATTGATGTATTCTGTTTTTACAGAGATCTAGTTGCAGCAAGACAAATCTACTGCTTCTATTTAAATGTTTCTGTCTGCATTCTCTGAATTTTTATCTCAGTAAGTGCATAGAGATAAAGTCATTATAGTCTGTGAATTTAACATTCAGGCAAATGTTGAAAATGACTACATATTAACTTTAAAGGCAACGTTAGATTCAATAGAATTTTCTCATAATGTCCACAGTTCTACAGGCTCTCTAATTTCCATCATTCATCTTGTGCAGACTTATGACTTTGAGGGTGAACAATTAACAGTATTTCCTCATAATCCTGCTTTATCTGACCATTTTTGATGTTCAAAATCATAACTTAGAGTATCCATCTTTACTTCTGTGGATCATGGTTGTGTTGTCAAATGCAACAGTAATTTGTGATGTTGCCCTTCTGAAAGAGCAGGTAGTCAGTCTGAGGAGCCTAGCTCCTTGGTGAAATTTACAGCTACGTACCTTAAAGCAGACTAAGATAGTTAAGAAGAAACTCATTTCTAAGGAGCTAGAGATAAAACAAAACCATGTAAAAGAAAGCCTTTTCATTTATTTATCCCTCACTGATAGAAAAGAAAAATAATCCCGGGCTTCCCTCAGTTCCGTATCCAATCTGACAAAGTGTTCGATCTCTGTTTGAGCAAATATTCCTTGAAATATCAGTCATGATGATTCCATGAGCCTTCTCACCAACAAAACTGTTTCCATCAGACCGAAGATCCATGGAATGTTTCCCACTCTTACCCCTGATGTATTTTCAGGTATATCTGCTTCAGACGTTGTCTTAAAATTCCAATTTGTATTTATGTAGCGTTTGTAAAATAACCAAAGGTTTCTTAACAAGTATTGTGTCAGAAAGCTAATTAAAAAGCCCCAGTGAAAAGGTGAGTCTTCAGGGCAGATTGGAGTTAGAGCATGACGGATAGCTTGAGGGAGGGAGTTCCAGAACACCTGTGTCAGAGGAGAGCAGGGTCTGGGATGAGGCGCGTAGATGCAGAAGGTCAGACAGTGTGTCACTGCTCTGTCAAGCTACAAGCTACAAATGAACTCAGGTGCATGACAAAGAAACAACACAGAAAGTAAATACAAAGGCTTATTAAGTCCTTGGTGACAAGAGAGTGGAAGCAGGAGTTGGCCTGACTTAGCCTACAGCTCCTAAAGTCTGCGCAACCCAACCTAAGCAAACCACAACCAGACGAGATGGTGAAGTGCAAGAGCAAGTGCAAGAGAAAGGAAATGTTTAAAGTGAAAGAAGGCAGACTTCGGGATATGATTTTATTTCATCCTGCATATTTGCTTGGGAGAAGCAAGAGAGAGATAGCATAGAGAAATGAGATTTGAAAGACTATCCAGTGTGTGGGGCACATATTTCATGGAGGCATATCTTTATAGAGCATAGATGGGGTCTGTCTCACCGTAGAATGTAGCAATAATCTAGAGCAGAATGTTGATGGTGGAAAATGGCGTTACAATAGTTTATCTTTGGGTTAACTATGGTATAAATACAGTCAGTCTTTGTCCTGCAGAGAGCCTCTTTCTAAGATTTCACATCAGGCCTGTTTTCTTGTAGCTGAGGACCAGTAGCCTACGTTGTGCAGATATCGGTAGTGAGGCAGGTGCAGGCAGGTGGTAGTCCAGTGTTTGGGGGACGCAAGAGTGTCCAGACATTGGGGTAAGTCATGATGATTTATTAAGTCATCTTGTGAGATCTCTGGGTAACCAAGTAAATTTTGGTCTCCAGCAGATAAGATAGAGCGGGCATTCCTTAAAGTGATGACGTGCTTTGGGTGTTGTCTAGAAAGGAACTAGGGACAGTGAAAAGGACATAGTGGCTGAGGGAGGGATACCAGTGGAACACATTAGATCCAGTGTATGATCTTTAGAGTGGTAGGGTCTTTGACATGTGGCATGACAAGGGGTTCAGTGGTGACAAGAATTCAGCAGCAAAGTTGCAACTGGCAGAGGCCCAAAGAGAAATCTGAACCAGTCATCTTGGTCTCCACACAGGAGATGGAGACTCAGAACAGGCAGGGCTACCCTCCTATCTCGCCTTAGGAGGGAGATAGATAAGGACAATCAAGAGTTGAGGACACTCAGAGAGCGTTAGGATAATACACTTGGACATAAGAGTCAGACATCAAAGGTCCTTTCCTATCATTAATATTGTTATGGATGAGAGGATCCTTGTTATTCATAGAGCACATAGTTAGCAGGAAAGCATAGGGGAGACAGAGGGGGGGGGGGCACGTGGCACAGAGCTTCAACCAGCACCCCAGAGATGACACAGGAATCCCTCTTCATAATCCTGTTTCAGGAGGCTCTGCGTATATATCAGGGGCATGGTTAGAGTCCAGGAGGAATTGTGTGGTTATACAGTAATTTTGAATGGCATTATCTTTTATTCTAGTCTTACAATGAGGAATTAGTAGTGGTAGTTATTTCTGACCTTAACCTGAACTTCTTGACTCTCATATAAACATGTTTCTATGTTTAGCTTTTTTAATCTCTCTAATGTCTCCAAAGGGAGGAACAACCTGTTTCAGATGGAAAAATTGTTCCTTTAGGATCGGACAGCTGTGATTTTTTTATTATTGATCTGTCCTAGAAACTCAGTGGTAGGCTTCCAGCTGATCCAAAATGCTGCAGCCAGAATTCTGATGAGAACCAGCAGCTGAGATCACATATTTCCACTTTCAGCTTCTCCTCACTGGCTCTCTGGCCCCTCCCAGCTGTGAGTTTCGGTTCAGGAGGCAAAGAGATGTGTTGGCTTTTCTTTTTTCAAAAGGGAATAAGCCATAATTGGCAATTTTGGAATTTAACGAACTGGATTTGATTGGATTACAGTGATACCAATTGGCTTGAATTGGACTTGATCTTTTAACAACGGTGATGGAAAAAAAAATCTGATTACATGCTCAGTTTTGATGGTCATTTTCCAAAGTTATTTTTATGTTTCTTATCATGTAATATGTGTTGTCTTGGTTGGTGCTGTCTGTGTCAGTGGAAAAGACGACGCAGACATTAGCTTAAAGAATTTTTTTTTTAACTGAGTTTGTGCAGTCGAACACAGGGAGGTGTTCTCTGAATAGAGAACACCTCCATGTTCTCTATTCAGGGTGGTTTATTGTAACATTAGAGTTAATTTTAAATACATTTCTTTCTGATCTATCATTGTCTTTTGCTTCTTCAGACAGACTAAGACTCTTAAAATAAAGAATTCCACAACGCGACCTAAATTTGACATTATTGTGATTTGGTGCTATTTCAACAACACTGGATTGACTTCAAATTAATTTCCTAGAGGGAGATCCCATTTCCTTCTACTGTCGTCTTACAGTACGGTATATTCCAAAATTTAAATTGCACTAATTTCTGTGGATTTCTCTTTTTTTAATTACATTTAGCATTCCCATGCATAATGCTTAGTGATTTTATATTTTCCTTGGTCGACTTACATGTTTTCTCTTGCAATGCTCCCATTTTGTTTGAGGGTTTTACAAATGCTAGCCTAAACTTAATTGGTTTTGAGTTGAGCCATTCTCTTCAAAGAATTTTAGAATAATTTCCATTGTCTCAGTTGACAGCTTTTGTGTTGCATTTCTTGCCAGTGAGTCAGATGATATGAATAATGGGCTGAGAGACTTTTTATGTTCTATTATAAAAATGTTTTTGTCAATGTTGACTGAATAATCTGTCAAAATTAATGATAAAAGAGGTTAGAAAATACTAACTTTAGTCAATTTTATTTAGTGTGCAAAGCATAATTAAGCTATGGCTTTGATTAGGGCTCATTTCAATAAATCTAAGGAAAAACTTTTAGTTAGTCTCTAATGGATACAAAAGTTAAACAATTTATGTTATTTTACACGACACATTGTCTTTTTTTATGTAAGCTCAGTAGAAGAAGACAATATGAAGTACAGTAACTACAACTTGTGAAAGCATACCAAAGACTGATCATTAAAAGAAGAGTTGAGTTGCTTTATAATATAATATAAGTATTTCAACTGTTAAAAAAATGCATTGCAGCTGACATATGCTGGTATGAGCTTTTGGCCAAACCTCCTTTTAACATAACAACTGTTGGCTGATGGCAGCATGGATGAACAACATCACATCTTGACTGCTAAACCATAACGGACAACTCTCCATACTGAACTTAGAAACTAAAAAACTATACTAAAACTTAACTCTTTGTTTAACTTTGTTATCAGTCAATAAGTAAGAAAGAAAGAAAAAAAACACCCACTCATCTCTCTGTCGTTATCTCTCCCAATTCTTCACTGTCATCTCTCCAATGGCCTGTCTGTGTCTCTATAGCTTTTCTGTTCCAGATGCTTCTCTTGATATTTTGTCCAGAGTGACAATCAGATCTGAACTCCCAGCAGCTTTCAGAGCAGAACCAGTATCTGATGCGCCACTGTCAGAAGGGACTTAATTATACAGCCACAATGTAGGAATGACTTAGACGGCCATATTTATTTTCATTTAACCACTCAACAAATGTTCATCCAACTCCCATCAGCCTGAGCTTTACGTGTTTTTCATCAGTCGAGTTGCATTTCGTGTCAAAACAAGCTCCTCGTTAAAACGAATGTGCTGTGATGTTTTTTGTTCAGCACAACTGTAAAGATTAGGGAAAACAATGCTCACATCTGTTCATAGACAGGAATATGAAACAGTCAAAGTATACAAATAAGGCACAAGGATTAGTAGCTTTGAAGAAGCACGCTCCGAAGCTTAATAAAAAGCACAAACAAACAACTCCACACACAACGGGAATCTCACCTGATCTGCAGGCCATATCCACATCTTTTTCAAAGTCAGTCTAAGGACAGAAAACAGCCAAGCATGTTAAACTATTCCAACGGCCCTATTTTTTTGGTCAAAAATGTTAGGTAGAACTTTGCTTACCATGAGCTGAGCGTGGCCATTTTGAAAAGATCCTCCTGAATCTCCATTAGCATCTTCCTGCCGATCCACCACGCGACACTTTACCGCCTCCTGAACCTGCACAGTGCAATGTAGTGATACTTTTTATAAGCAAAATAAAAAAAACACAGAGGGGGGACAACCCTCAAGAAATACAAAAAAAAGAAGCTGGGTTAAAAGCTTGTCCCAAAGACAACACCACAAGCTAAAGATCCAGTTGGAGCTTAGATTAACAATACTACTTCCAAGTGTGGTAAGAATGTGTTGAAGAAGATCCGTGGTAACTTTTAGTTGTTTGACCAAGTCCTGAACCTCCATATCTGTTTAGTTATTGTACAATACAGTAGCTGAATATCTAAAAGATGTTAAACAAATAGTAATAAAATCATGGTGACCTTTGGATATTTTCACCATGTCTATGCTACAATTCCAACCTTCCAACTGCTTTTCAATAGATTTTTGTTATATGTTTCCAGCATTTTCGAATAAAAGAAAATAATTTTGCTTTGGGATCATTTATATGTGATTAAGTACACTTCAGTAGAAGGGAAGTGTTGATTTAAAGTACCTCTCGGCGGAGGATGCAGTGAACCATGACAATGACGAAGCCTTCCAGTGAGTCAAACACAGCAAAAAGGATCTGGAAGAGGGCTGAGCGCCGGTCTGTGATAGCCAGGACCGCTGACATCCATGTGAGGGCCAGGAGTGGCAGAACCACACAGGAGCTCCACAGCGAGGCCCTGCAGGTCAGGAGCAGAGCCACAGTTCAGCATCTGCTGCTGATCACAGCACACGTCTGCAGGAAACATCTGACTCTCTTCACAACAGCAAAACCAAGTTCAAAAGTAAACAATGTTCTAACAGTATTATTAGCTAGTACTTGCTAGTGAATACTATTAGGAGTCATCAACTCTGCTCATGCATTATTAATTAGCATCGCAAGATGTAATTCTGCTACTATCGCAAACAAAAACATACATCCATAATCTGAAAATATATATGTTCAGAACTCACATATATTACATGCATGTATGTTTAAGATGGTTTCATCAAACCATAGAGGATCCAATGTCACAGGAAAGAGAGGGAAGGAGAGAGGCTGAGCAGTGGAGGGAAAAATGGAATGAGGCGGAAACAGAATGCAAAAACAAACAGAGGGAGAGAAGAGGACAGACAGAGAAAGACTCTGAAGGATCAATCCTGCTCTTCTGTTCTTGTTTGTATATCTGAATCATCAGTTTAGCAGTTTTGTTCTGCTGGGAGCATGAGGGGAAAAAAAAAAAACAAGAACGAAAACTATATCCTCAGTGAAAATGATGCCAAATTAATTTAACATAACCAGCAGGTTTAAATGTGATCAGTGTCCAGAGGAGAAAAGCATTCTCAAAGAATAAAACAGCAAATGTAGTGAACGCATTGCCTTAAATGCATCCCAATCTGAAAATGTGCCTGATTAGAAATGTTTGCATTACATCCTATAACAACTCCTGTGAACCATCCAATCCAATCTTGTGCTCAGTCCCTGATGTAAGGCTTTCGTTTTGTCCCTACCTGTTAATTATTACTGGCATCACTGTCTAATCAACTTATTATAATTCTAAAGGAACAAACAAAGAAGAAAAAGATCATTTTACATTCAAATTCCTGTCAGAAATTAAGACGTTTTTATCCATTACCATCAGAGATTGTCACCAGTGTTGATTTGTGTTTTAAATTCACGCATAATTAGTCAGCAGGAGGTCATCCCTGTGATTGTGTCAACAGGAAATACTAAGGACAGGCTCCATGGGAAGAAAGGGGCAGACGTGTACCAAATCAGGTATGTCAGCTAAAGGCTCCATCCACGTATTTCATATCATTATAGGCTCACCCAAACCGTCTCTAAAACAAGATAATTTTAGAGCTGGTTACAGAACATAGTGTAAGAAAAGTAGCACTAAAAAAGTAAAACAATATGTAGGTGAAATTATGGACGTGCCTTCACTGGTAAAAACATAAGATCAACTGTCACTGCCTCCGGAGAACACGCTCCTTACTTTGATTTGACTCAGTGTGGGTTGATATGTGGGTATATTACCAGTGTGGGTTATATATGTTTACATATATATTACAGCAACAACCAATCCACTCTAGTAAAATACATTTTTAAAAAGATCTATATGACATAAATCAGTTCACGCATTTCCTAAAAAGCATCTTTAAGTCAAATGTGGCTCTCACATTTAAGTCCAGGAAAGAAATATCAGTAATTCAGTATTTGACAGAATAAATAATATTAGTGGAATTAGTCTGAAATTAAAAAATGAAAACACCCCAAATGGGAGTCCACATTTGTGTTGCTAGACATTACAACACCAATCCAATCCATGTTTTCCTCGGCCCTTTATTCAAGGACTATTACCAATAAAAGATTAAAGCAGGTCAATAAGAGGTGGACGGTAAATGGAATGAATTCTTATGGCACTTTGTTAACCGCTCAAAGTAACTTATATTTCAGGTAACATCCTCTCTCCATCGATCCCTCTTTTTCTTTCTGATCGATGTTGCAGGTCTGGCGAGGAAATTCAGACAAGTCTCTCTCCAGCCACTATCTCCAGCCTCGCCTGGGGATCCTAAGGAGTTCACAGGCCAGACCATACACAGAATTCCTCCGTCACGTTAGACACAGCAGGGAGAGGGTTGTAGCTTTACTTTTAGTGAATGACAATGTCTTTTTCTCTGGGCTCTTTAACCATCACCTTCTGTGTGCACGGAAGCTTCCGGAAAACCAGGAGAGAAAGGCTGAAAATCAGCCCCTCCTGTTTGGCTCAGTGTCAAAGCGAAAGGAGGGGTTTGGTGTGAGAAACCTCAATGGAGTGTTTCTACAACATGCCAGTCCTTTCTGGTTAGACCTTATAGGGACTGTCATGAGTTTAGAGAAGACGTTAAGAAAAAACCTGAGCTCCATGGGCTGTTTGACCCAGAGGTGAAGCGATGCCCTCCAGAGGATCGAGCCAGTTTCTTTCTGTTAGCTAGCAGCTAATGACGATGCACGTACCATGAGACGGGGTTTAGACCTCTTATTCTGTACCAGGCCTTATCTATTGGTTTGGTTTATGAATAGAAGTAGACATTATGCTCCTTCTTCATTAATTGGGATTTTTTTTTTTTATCTAAGATGTTTGAGGAAGTGGTTATAGCACAAAGAAATAAGTAAGAAATGCTGAAACCTAAGGGTCTAAATAAACAAATGAATATATCTTACATATATTTTTTCATATTTTTCCCACTTAATTCCCATTCAAACATGTTTATTTACTGCAAAATTGAATAATTTCTGTTCACCTTAAGCACACGAAACTTGACATGTGCGTCAAAAACATAGCAACGTGGACATCACATATAGCTACTGATTAAAAATGCTCTGGACTGATACCAGTAGGCTGCACAGTTTTGCAATCTGTTTGCTATAAGCTGCAGCCTCAGCCGTGAGAAACTGATGGAGCAAATCAGGATAAACACAAAAATATAGCTAAGCATTTTCCGCTTCCCTACCTTGATAAAGCCAGAACAGCACCTACAGCTAGCGTTTGTATAAAAGTTTGACTATCAGAGAAATCCAGATTTCTCTGCAGGTGCCTTTACTGACAGGGTCTGAGATTAAGAGTCTGTGGTAATGGGTTTCCATTGAAAAATGCAATTTAGTCAAGATTAATCATTAACGTTTCTTTTGAATTGGGGTTTGAAGCTGAAACTTTGACCCATCTGTCTGATAGCGTTTTTATGTTTCTGTATGGTTTATCTACATGTATCTACAAGGAGCAGAATCGGTGACAAGTTTTAGACTCTGCTCCAAACTTTAGACTTGACTTAAAGTCATGTCTAGTGATTAATTCTAGTCTATCAGGGCACAGAAAACCCTTTTGGATGAACTCAGAAGACCTTACTGGTCCATTAAGCTCTCTTAATAGTAGTTTTGCTTTTCTATTAAACTGTATGAGACAGTGAAAAAGGATTAATCTAGTACCATCATAATAGTAACACTATGCAATTAATTACAACTGATTTCCCTATTTGGCATATCCACAATCACTTGATATAGAGGACCCCGCTGCTTCTGCAGTGGTGTCAGCCTGTCGCAGCTCAGGCCGTGAGATTAAAACCCTCACAAATAACATGTAGCACCACTAGCTGAGAACCAGGCAAATGACTGCTCCAGTTAGGATCGGATTCTAACCCATTCTTTCCACGCAGCTCTGAAACTAGCTGCACGGCCCCTCTGCATACAGGACCTCCGTACTGTCCGCTTTGTGACTCAAATACACGCACAGACTCACATTCAATCAGTAACACAAATGCACTGACATATATAAAGTCAACAGTTTCATTTGATAGGCAGCTAGGAACTTAAGGAGCGATGTGATTCTGAGTCAAATCCTGACTGTCTGAGTGGCAGGGGGAGAAAAGATGACAGAGAGATACAGGACAGCAAACGGATCGAGAGAGGAGGAGGGGAGGCAAACAGCATAGGAGAGAACAGAGGAGTTAAGGTAAAATAATTAGTGGGACTAACATGGCATTACTGGTAGCTGTGGTGGAAACGTCAGCCGAAGAGATAACTCCGCACTTGGCACATTTGAGCGTCATATTGTACAGTGGCACTGTCATCTGACTGCAAAGTCAAATCAACACGCTGTAACATACACAAACAGATACAGATGCACCTGCACACAGACTCACCGGTGCACGCGTGCTGGGGAGCACACGCTTCGACGGGCACGCACACACAGTGAGTCACAGTGTTCTCGCACAGTCTCTCTCTCAGGGCTACCATCCTGCACAGAGTTTGGTGTGTGTTTGGGTGGACCTGTGTGCGACCGGGGGGGGGGACAGGGTGGGCGGGTCGATTCCGAGCTGTTGCTGGACATTTCCTATTCAACGTGACGTCTAACTCTCCGCTCTAGAGGCCGGTTTGAGGGCTCTATGACTCCTCTGTGAAGGCCGAGATAGACTGGGGCAGGTTCTCAGACTCCGTCTAAACGCCTGATGCCGGGCAGGATCTTTTCATGAGGGGCGGGACGTCCCTAATTCTGCATCCCCTCTACCTGACTGACACGTTTACCGCAAAGCCAACCTCTCCTGCAAAGGCGTACACAAAGCGTCACTCCACAGATCTACACAGAAATGTGGGCTCCACCTTCACCAATTCACTTCCACGCTCCCAAAGGAAAGGTCATGGTTAATGTAGAGAAAAACTACGTCATCATGGTGAGATCTCAGACCCTTGTGTTCTCTCTATCCATCAGACCGCTCCTGAAAGTATCCACTTACATCATGACAGACAGTCTGACTGGAAAGAACTGGGAAGTGATCAGTCAGAGATAGAGATGGGAGAGAAGTCTGCTTCACATCCTCAGGACAAAAGGAGTCTGATATTCCTGTGCAGTGCTGAAAGGTCACGCTAACTAAACCTAACCGGCCCTTCGGACTTGTTTTTTTGGTCTTTTTAATATTCTGAAATGCTATTCTTTAATGAATATGGCTGATAGACAAAAACAAACACTGTTTAGTGCAACAAAACCATTTTCACCCTACCATTGGCACTTGGAAGTATGGTAAACAAAATAGCAGTCCTGACTGAGCACCTTTATATTAAACTAGACCCTTTGCTGATCTTTGATCAATTTGGGTTTACTAAATTATCATGACTCACTATAAAGGATACAATTAGTCATTTTTCACATAATATTGTACTTCGTTCAAACTGTTTTTTTTTTCAATCAGCATGCATGATTTAAAAAGCAGCTACTGTTTAGATATTGTGTGATCACAAAGAAACAACATAACTAAAGTCTAAAAAACATTTAAAAACACAAACAAACTGGAGATTCAACCATAAAAATAGCAACTGATATGCCACCAAACAGCGTATACTAAACAACAATTAGCCCTGCCGAGCCGTCAGAATCAATTTTTGTGGCCTCGAGATGCCAGGATTAAAAATAACATAAAGGAAAAAATTCAATTTCTAGTAAAAGGGCAAGACGGCCGTTAAATGTGCGCTAGAGGCAGTGATATTAAAAAGCTATCAAGTCCGCTAAAACACACAATTTCCCTGGACTTAAGAACTGAGGTGAAAGGTGGTTGGAAAGGTGGGGTGAAATGCATTAAGCTCTACAAATGTATAAAAACTCCGGCTGGAACTATTCTTTGTGGTTATCCACTAAAAAAAAAAACTTTTTTTGCACATGAGACATTAAACGTAAGGTTCGACAAAGATAAAAAACATTTATTTAAATACTGAAGAATGAAATTAACCTGTTCGCTGTAAACACGCTTGATTATGAAACCATTGGCGTGTTTGTTAGGAAGGAGACATACTGTGCCGCTTTGAGTTGGACATTTTCTGTCTGGTTTAATTCTCTCGGCTAATGAGTCTTTAATTTTCCAGGGAGTGGAGCCTCGGTGGCATGGCCTGTTCCCCGAGCCCGGGCCGACCGGCACCATGCAGATGCCACTGTGCGCTTAATTAGATTCTGCACATATTAATTAGCTTCATTAAACATGTTTTTCGTTTGATTCCTCTGTGAAGTGTGCACGTGAACGGAGGGGGCTGGGGTCGCGGCGGGGAAGAAAAGAAGACATATTGGTCCTCTCTTTGTTCTGCTGGTTGCCACACAATGAGATGTCGCAGCACCGGGGGGGCCACGTCCAAATTTGACCTATATTCTTTTGACCCGACAATAAATACGCCTCAAAACCCTCCAGATTACAGATATTTAAAATGCATATACATATTTCTTTTTGTTACATATTGGTAATACTCAACAAAAAGGCATGTTTTTGAAGAAAAGTTTAAAAAAACAAATTAATTGATTATTACCGAATAAGTTAACTTTTCTGATCAAAATTTGAATTAAACAACAGGTGTGTCACTAAGTCACATACACCTCCCGTATCAACATATACACATTACCACAATTAAACAGTAACAAAGTGATGGAGCACTTCAAGAAGTATCCGATCAAGAAAATAATCCAGAATCATGCATTTTTTAAAAGATCCCTTTGTTAAGAGCAAGTTCTGCCAATAACTGACTGTTTTACTGTAGAGTTACTGAGCTAAAGAAACAGGAGGAGTGAATGTTCCTGTCCTCTCACACATAAAGCAGACAGCAAAGGAGAGGACAGTGGAAACACTGTAACACTCACCTCAACACATCACCTCTCAATAACTATCCTAGTGCCTTTAAACAGTAAGTTATTTAAAATACACGGCTAACAAATCATACATAGTGCATCCTTGCTCAGTTCCAAGCTTTTCATTAATAAATATAAATCATAAACTAAGATCACCTTAGATGAACAACACATACACATACTAATATCGCCACTGAAGCAGAAAACGATTCAGTAGTTCTTAACCCACTTTTAGCAGAAACTAACAAAGCCAAAGTTTTTCCAATGGGTGGGCTCTCTCTGCCTCTCAACGTAGCCTCAGAGCTTTGACCTGTTGGAGGAAACTCTTTGTGTGTAGCCCTCTACAAGTCCAACTAAACTGTTTCAATTTAAGAGCTCGACCATTTTCAGGAAGAACAAAATCACAAGCAAGGGTATATATCAAAGTGGTGATGTACTTACTTGTTATATCTTACAAATTCATGAAAAAGAGGGTGCTGGCCAGACAAAATGTGTGGTGTGAAAGCTCACCGCTAAGCCAGTGAGCAGACAAAGGTCTAAGCCTTTAGCTGTTTGGCTCAGGAGTTCACGGCTGAAGTTTGGCTTCGGCCAGTTTGGCTTCGGCCAGTTTGGCTTCGGCCAGTTTGGCTTCGGCCAGTTTGGCTGCCAACTCCCTGACTCGCGAGGTCAAGTTCAGCCTCAGGAAGAATTTAGCCTAAAGGTTAGCTGCTCACTTTGGTGCCTACTGGGATGCTCCAGGTGGGATCTCATCAGAGAACTGCTACAGCTACTCTGGACAGTTCCCTCTAATTTCCCCAGGTCCAAGGCCAATTATGAGGAAGACCGACCTCAGCTAGCTTCAGGTAACTATCCTAAATCACGTGACCTCCCAGTTTGCTTTTTGTGGGCCACGTGGCTCTCAGCCAGGCAAATCAAAAGCTTTTAGACAAACAATGGGCTGAGAACTTCACACGTGACTTCGGTTTTCCTCACCTCCTCGTGGCTCAAAGGCTTCTTCTTTCATTGAATATAAATCTAATATATTCTAATATTCAGTCTTGCCACAGTCTTTAAATGGAATTCTGGACTTTGGATTGTATTATTGTCCTGTTGCATAATCCTGTTTTATATTAATTTATTTTTTTTTTACCCTGAATAATTTCATTTCCAGAGGAGTTCATGGTGGACTTCTTGGTCCTCTGGCTGAAGAAAACCAGCCCAAATCACCATTACTCCCCCACCATGCCGACAGCTGCTATGAGGTGTTTGTGCTGTTTGTTTTCTGTGCGTTCTGACCAAACATTATCACTTTGCTCCGTTCTTTGTTCCAGAAGTTGTGAGCTTTCTTGTGAGCTTGGCAAGCTTAAGCCGTGCCGCCATGTTCCTTTTCCAAAGAAGAGGCCCAAACAAATAAGCCAGCTTATTTCTTCTAACTGTGCTGTCTTGGCCTTAAATGTTTAACTTACTAACTGGAATTTTGACAATTTCTGCTTGACTCCTTTTTGCTCTTAACTTCAACATTTTTCTACTTCAAAAAGTATTTACATACTGGGTCTGGATTTTTGAATAAGTAGTTTAGTTTGGATTAGTTTTTAGTTTCTTTTATCACAATATTGTACCCTTTACACAACTAAATGCTAATATGGAATGTTATAACATTAGAATATATTCTACATAAAAAAAAACTAAAAAAACAAAGTCACTGTTTATATCTTAGCTTTTAAAATCATGGATGTGACTAATGTGATGATATGGCGTAAAATACATAACATTTTAATACGAGTCAAAAGCTTCTTTCCTCAAGCCATATGGGACAAAATACTGGTTTGAATTTATGCACAAAACTGATTGTTGCTTCGTTATCTACCTGTGCTTTTACATGTTAAGTCAAAAGCAACAAAGAGAAAGCAAAAGAGACAAATCAGGTCTGTCATACACTCACATGGCCACATTCGAATGGCCATTCTATCTAAAATGAGCTCAGAGTGGAACTTTCTAACAGAGAGTTGCTCCAACAATCCCATCATGCAAAGACATGGTAACGAGAAGTATTGTTAATACTAGGATACTGCTATGCAACTAGCAAGCGTTATTAAAAGAAGCCACAGTTTGTCTATTGGTGAGGACCTCACACAGCATCATGTTGTGCTCTACGTAGCTAACAGGAGAAAGGATAATTGCAAGACTGAGAGTTAAACAATGGGGTGAATAGGCAGGAAGTAAAAGTAAGCCAATCAGAGAAGCTTGCTAGAGGATTCGGCTGGTTTGGTAATGGGCAGGGCTAGTAGCCACACATTAAGAGGAGAGTGGGATGGGCAGATATTTTTACCCAATCACTGATGAGATGGGAGGGGGCTTCTGAGACTGATGTGTTCCTGATTGGAGAGCCCTGAGTGAGAGAGAGGGGGATTCTGTGCAAACTCAAACATGGCATTTCAGACAACAAAACGAGCACAGCTGAACAGAGATCACGGAATAAAGCAAACATTTTTCAGAGAGAGAAAGAAAATAACATCGGAATGCAGCAACAATGCCAATGAAGACCAATGAAGAACAGTCTGAGAGTAAAGGGGAGCAGGGAGCTCGGCTGTCTGACGCAGAATCATCCATTTCATTTGCGGAGAATTGTAGTCAAAGTGTGTTTAGTCTTTTTTTTTAAACAAGATCTACATTCAAAGGAACACTCCAGCACTACGGTTATGATTTTCGAATGGAGGACACTCATAATATCTGGCATAAAATCAGAGGAGTGGAACTGTAAAACTGCATTCAGCAGATTTGTTCATAGTGTTTGGAAGCAGGCAGTAAAAACAAAAAAAGCAGGTGATCCTAATTAATTCCGATGACTGCATGCAGAGGTCTCAATTTTAATGACCCAAAACAACTTGAATTTAAAGAAAAAGCAACTCTGTCACATCCATCGTCCCCATAGAAACATGCCCATGTGCTCCATCACAGAAGAGTACGCTAAACTGGAATGAAATAAACAGTAGATCAGAAACTGCCTGCTTGAAAAGCTTCCTGGTGTCTCTTAATGAGGGAGCCTTATTGGCAGATATCACCCATAAAAATCTGAATGTGCAAATCAGACCTATTGCTGATGCTTTCTATTCCAGTTTGGTAATGTGAGGAAGACAGTTATTGGTTGAGGTTCAGCTGTCACAATAAGGCCATTTAATGTGCAATTTTTCAGTGCTGTTGGGAGGATATTTTACCCCAAATAGTTTCTTTAGTGTCTACAAAATACATCTTCATCCACATAAATCTTTGCTTCAGAAATACCTATCTGTAGTTAGGAAAATGCTGGAGTGTTTCTCTGGGAAAAAGGCTGTTTAGAATACAGCTAATGTTGGCATAATGCCATCTTTATTATAACAGGTCACATCTGCAGTCAACAAATAAAGACCAAAGAAAAAACAGTTCAGCTAATGAACCATGGTAATTTTATTATTACTTGGATTTTATCTCTATTATTTTGACTCATACAAGCTACAATGATAACAATTATTCAGAGAAGATGTGAAATTTAATCTCATAAAGGCTCTCAGACAAATGTATCACTGGAGTCTTAGAGATGGAACTCAAAAAGTGTAATTTAAAGCCCTGCTTCCCCTTACTGGAAACAACCAAACAGGAGAAAAGAGACAGGTGGAGTTACAGAACTTTAAGTCAAGAGCAACACCTGCAAACAAAGAGCAGCGGAATGAGAACGCCACACACTTTAAAATGTCAAAGAAAGCAGTGAGATGAGTCATCCTCTCAGTCTGTGCAGGACCAATAACCAGACAGCCTTCTACAAGCCCATGTTCTGTTGTCCCTCTAGCTCCGCCACACATGTTTTCTGTGACTGGCCACAAGAGAATATACACTGGTTTCTCATTTCAGATGGATTTAGATTTTACCGTCTGTTCTTAATTTCCCAGTGTTACATTATGTGATGAATTTAGCTCCTTTGGAATAGTACAGACAGATGGTTAAGGATCATTTCAGAGAGGAAGCCAATAATTGTGAAAGCCCACCCCCACGAGGCTGGTTATAGGTCACTGTGTAAAATGGATGTGTGATATAAGGCATACCCCGCCCTCTCCTTTAGTTTCATATCAGTAATGCCGTCTTTGGACACCAGTTTGTTAAAAACGAGAATCCCAATAACCATGTTAACCTGCCAAAGAGAAGAGGCACAGGATTAAAGCAGAGTAAAGGCAGTTTCAGTCTTTCAAAACATGCAGCTGGTGATGGTGATGGATGGCAATGGGGCTGATGTTCATCGTGTAAAAATGATCCCGGCAGCATGCACATAAACAACTCACAGCTCACATGCCGTACAAAAGAATGCTGCTATGGTGGGTTAAACATTAGTGATGAGCCCCAAATGAAGCACAGGAGCAGCAAAACTAGTTGAAAGGAATAAACTGCTGAGGTATGAAACACGCTTGAATGAAAAGAACGTGCTGAGAAAAGAAATCAGGCATAAAATATGAACTGAGTGGGGGAAAAAAAGGCCTGGGCTATCTGTTTAGTGATTCCCGCATTTAACTTCTTGAGAGTTCCTATTTATGAAAGCCCTGCATACTGCTCTGCACTTTATTCTCCAAAACCTGTGTATGAAGTACTGAGAGGGGAAGAACTGGAAGTCTGGCTAGTGAGACTGATGAGAAAAGCGAGGACATAGTGTCTGCCAAAAACTCAGCCCACTAGGCTTTGTGGGCAGAGATATGAGTATTAACACGCTGATTTGTTTAGATGGTTAAAATAGACTATTTTGACCGGTATATATCCAAGTCCATAGACTGGACAGGGAGGAAACTTATAAAAGAAGCAACAATCTAAACCAAAGGTAATTGTGTCCATTGTACTGCTAGAGGCTATACAGCCCAGACAGTTTTGTGGGCCCATAAGAGATGATGGAAAACGCTATGTCTGTTGCAAACCAACAGCTCTTTTACCCCAAGAACTCGATCACATAAGTATGATGCAGTCGGGGAATGTTTTCCATCAGTAGGGGCAATCTTTACAAAACAATCTGTTTTGCTATTCCAGAGATATAAGGCCTGGTGGGAGGTTCACCTTCCAGCAGGACGGTGACCCTCAGCTTACTGCCCACCTACACCTGAGCACTCTAAAGGGGAAACATTTCAATGTGCTGCTCTGATGAAAAGCCAGATCTCTATTCCAGCCAGAATCTGAGACATACCCTAAAAAAACAACTACCAAATACTAACTATTATACATGTATATATATTCAGCCTTTTTTATTTTGTAAGGTAAGATGAAAGGGAAAAAAAATACTAAAACCAGGAGGGACTGCATGTATGCATATTTTGTGTGTGAAACCTGGATGAAAACATGCAAACTTAAAGGTGCTTGGTTACATGATGCAAGCCACAGTAAATGGTAATCTTTCAACAGCCAAAACACAGATTTGAGGTGAAGAGAAAATACCAAGACTACAGCTGCAGCAGGTCCAACAAATGCATAGAGAAGACCTCCTTCCAAAGACAACCAGCAACTATGAGAGGAGCAGGAAGACGCAGGTTTGGAGAGGTGTGATTAGAAGAAATGAAGGTGGGGGTGGGCAGGAAAAGGAGGAAAGAGGAAGGATATGGTGGAAAAGTGTATGCATGACAAGAATAAGGACAGTAAAAGATAGATGAAACAGAGGAAGAAAGAGGTTAATTATGCTGTAAACATAAGCATCCACCCTCCGACAATTTCATCGCATTAATAGTTAAAGAGGAGGAGATACGCAGTGCTAGATCCATATGAAAACATACTTACTAGCTCGGTGTTCCATATCCCTTTGCCTTTGTGAATCCTACTGAGATCGCTAC